TTTCCACTGCTAAGCAAGACAGTTGTTAAATGAGTTGTGCCCCATTTTATGACCTTTTTGCCACAGTTGTTAAGCAAATCACTGAAGTTGTTAATTGAATCATGCAATCATAAGTGAATCTGGCTTTCCCCAGCTGAGGAGATTTCAAATGGTGATCATATGACCCCGGGACTCTGCAACCATCATGAATATGAACCAGTTGCCAAGCACCTGAAATTTGATCACATGAACATGGAGATGCTGCAATGGTCGTAAGTGTGAAAACTGGTCATAAAGTCAATTTTTTCAATGCCGTATAACTTCGAACGATCACTAAATGAATGGCTGTAAGTCAAGGGCCACTTGTAGTAAACTGTCTCTTACAGATGATCATCCAACCTGGTTTAAAAACATCCCTTGGTAATTAGTTCCACTGTTGAACTACTCTTAATTTTATGTACGTGCCACTTAATGTTTTAAAAACATTCAACCAGACCCTGCCTTCATGTAACTTAAAATTATCACTAGTGCATTATAGATAACAATGCATTAAACTTTCAACACTTCTGGGCAGCTCACAACTATCAAATGATAGAAAACTTATCATAGTCTTGCTTCCATGTGACTTAAGGACGTATTGTGTAAAATACTTGAAAATTACTATCATGTAAAATCTAAATTTTCTCTTCCCAAGGCATAATCAGTTCCATCCCTTCCTCCTTGCAGGATACATTCACATACCCTTCTTCAGACCTATTCCTTTTTGCCTAAGACTGGAGGTGTGAGGCCTTCTCCCACCCTTCTGATTTAAACTGGTAGAGTCATTTTTTTCAATATTTTAATTGTCACAGTTGGCTATGAAGTGACTCTGATAAGAACAAAACAGATGCAATATTGCACAAGCAGAGCAGAGACTGCATTTGTTCTAAACTAGAAAATAAATAAAACATTTAGAAAATGTCAGTGGAAAACCACTTGGATAGCATCGCTAGGAAAACAAAGTCATCAGGAGTCAAGTTTGTCTCAAGTGATGATCTACCTTTTACTGTAGGTTTGCGATAATGAGCAAAAACCTGTTTCTCTTTCTTTTCAGCCTTTATATTTTCTCTCAGTTTATAAACCTTATCTCCAGACTGCTTAGTTTTATCAGCTGTTTGCAAAGTGTTTGATGTTTAATTTTATTGTAGTATTGTATTTTTAATCCTTATCACTTCTGAATGCAGAAAAGCAGTGTATGAATATAAATAAATAAAATTACCCACCTCAAATCAATAAGCAAGCAACACAGATTCTTGTTGACAGATTGTCTTGCTACCCTAGAAAACCAAGAAAACAAACAAATGCACCATCACATAAACCAATCTAGAGTTTTCACTTGAGTGGCAAATGACCAGGCTCAAATTATCCTACTTTGGATACATTATACCATGAACTAGTTTTCCGGAGAAGACTCTAATGCTAGATAAGTTGACAAAAAGAGAAGAAGAGGGCAACCAGCAGCAAGGTGGATGGACTTTGTTAGAGTACCTATGAGAGCACAGTTGGAAGAACTGAAGGACTAGGTTAGGGACAGATGTCATGGAGAATATCTGTGTGGTTGCTAAGAGTCAACAACAACTTCATGACACATAATCCTAAATCACCATCAATAAGAAATATGTTCAAACGCTAAAATCAGATTGTAGAAAGATGGCTTGATTTTTCAAAGATGGTAAGTCTTTAGTACCAAGCTGATTTAATTTATCTAGCTATGGTGCCAATTAGGAAAAAGTCTAATGATATATTGATTGTTGTTGTTGTTAGTTGTGAAGTCATGTCCAACCCATCGCAACCCCATGGACAACATTCCTCCAGGCTTTCCTGTCTTCTACCATCCCCCAGAGTCCATTTAAGCTTATGCCGACTGTTTCAGTGATTCCATTCAACCAACTCATTCTCTGTCGTCCCATTCTTCTTTTGCCCTCACCCGTTCCCAGCATTAGGCTCTTCTCCAGTGAGTCCTTCCTTCTCATTAGGTGGACAAAGTTTTTGAGTTTCATCTTCAGGATCTGGCCTTCTAAAGAGCAGTCAGGGTTGACCTATTGATAGCAATTGCCATTTCACACAAAAAGAAGAAGATGGAAGAATTTCTTCAATGGTTGTCTTTGAACTGGAAGAGTTGTCTTGCATTTGCAGAACAGAAGTTGACAATACTGAGAGGGAGATTCAGTCTCCCTAAAAATAACATGTCAAAAAATTAATGCTGGAAGAACATCTATTGTACTAGAACTCCAAGCATTTTTTACTTTTAATGAGGCAGAAATTTAATTTTGTCTTTCTCTCTCTGCAGACACTTGGCCAATACACATAGAAATTTCTTTCTTTTCCTCTTCTCCAACCATGCCTCTATTTTTATTCCCCTGATTTATCTTTGTTTGTCCTTCTTTTGAAAGGAAGAAAAAGTATATATGTGAGAACGAGAGTAATAAAAACAGACATATGCCTACATATGTACAGTACATTATCCACACATTTCTTAGGAAAAACAAAGTAACTAGGATTAATTTCAGATGGAACTGGTCACTTTAGTATGACAGAGAAGCTGGAGTTGTTTTTCTTTCTGTAAATACAATAATAATGAAATCAAGCTTGGCTTGAAATTATCCCCTCTGACCTAGCATTCAAAGTTATTTGGATTCCTAGATGAAGATGCCAGTTGTGGTGAAGTTTATGAAGGAAAGTTATGTTGTGCAGGTATTTAGTTACTGCCTCTATGTTTCAGAAGATAGCACTGCCAAAGGAAAACAGATCTCTGCTTTAGAGAATAAATCCTGCCTTAAATTTCATCTGAGCAAACAATAATCCAAAATGGAGTTGGGTATGCATGTCAATCCTCACTTCCAAACTTGGAAAGGCTATGATGTACACTTTCCTAAAGGCAAATATCATTGAATTTATCATGTTATATTGCTGAAAATACAAAAATAATTGTACTGTAAAGAGTGGCTGCAAAGGAACTTTTGCTATTCCTATGAGAAAAATAGGCATTGCTAGCCTAAAAGTAGGAAGTTTCCAGAGGAATAACCCAACTAAAATCAGTCCCTAAGAGAAGAAACATGCTTCTAGAGTTTCCTACCTTTGAAAATACTTTTTACAAAATAGCTAAGTGTGTTCTTTATATACCTTAGTCTGCATAATTATCTGGTTTCTTGCTACTCTATAATAGCTTTTGGGAAAACTGGAATTATTTACACACACTGTCACCATGGAGGCAAGAGGTAAGATTGGACCCTCCTTATTGGCACCATCAATATTTAAGATTCAGTCCAAAGAAATCTGAAACAACTGAAATCCCCATTAGGACAAAAAAGCCTTAAATGCTTAAGACTGTGATTAAGTTCCAGCTCATCCTGCTTCTTTGGATTTCATCCAATAGACACAAATAGGATGAAATATGTTGCATTATGAAAGCTCATGTTCTTGGTAGAACTGCCAAATTCTAAATTATATTACTACCCAATCCAAAGAGTATTTGAATGTTAGCTAAGTATGTTTTCAGAAAAATAGGAATTGTTCTAAAATGCAAAAGTAAAACTACACTAATCAGAATATGTATTAGATTAAAATGGTTGTCTACCTGGAATTTATATCTGACAGAAACCATGCAAGTAAAACTCAGATTATAAAGAGAAACAAGTCTTAAAATACTGAAATTGTACTGAATGGCTTAATAAAAAAACCAGCTACTAGCAAGTCCTGGGCTGGTGGTTCTCAGAGCATTTATAAAATTCCCTGGCCTCCAAATCAGCCTGCTTTGTTTGTCTGTGGCTCACTGGATTTGAAGAATCATACTCTTTAACGTATGTGGTTTTCTTATTCAAGGAGAAATGCTTAATTATTTCTTTACTTGGTCTCTATACAATATTCTTTTATTAAGGGACTTGGAATCTTATTTTTTGAAACTTTAGGCTCATGTTTTTATTATGAACATAGTAACTAGCTAATGATAACAAATAAGGAACCACAAACTGTTGATAATGGAATTGCTTGCTTTTATTTGATTTTTTGTGTGGTTTTCCCCCCCATTTTTTTCCTATGTCATGTATGTTTGTTCGTTATTTTAGTTGTATATTCAATAAAGCTTGTTTTTTTAAAATAAATAACAAAAAAAATTTAAACTCCAGAATTATTTCAAGTTAATAGGCACCTGTACTAGTCATTCCATAAGTTTCCAAACATTTTTAATTAATCACACTAGGTTGAGCATTGGAGGAACCAAAATGCCACATTTTACTTGTGCAGTATTCTTGTTTTTGTTTTATCATTTCTTTTGTGCTGTATGCTGACCAGAGTCACATTGTTTGAGTTGGGCAGCCTTATAAATTTAGTTAATGCATTAAAAACATATAATAAAGTTCTAGTACTCACAGAGTACATTCTCTCTGTGCCATCCTCCTCCATTTCTTATAAAACAATAAAGTTGATAGGCACAGTTACAATTGTATTTTTTTCTGAAATACTTTGAAAACACTTTAAACAAAATGTTCTAGAATCACTGCCACTCAGAACAGAGATGATGAAAGATCACCCAAACCAAGGAACTAGAAGATGGTAAGCCCAGAAGAATGCATGAGACTTCCAGAGGGCATCTTATCTAGGTCACTTCAATTTAGTACCGTGGATCTTCTGATCCACCTTCTTCATGATAAAGCAGCCTGAGCCAGTTAGCAAGACAATCCCTAGCTTGGATTCTTGAGTATCAACTTAGGAGCTATATTAAAGAAGTTTAGTGTATCTTCATTGCACAGGGACATTTTCCAGACATAAACTGTTTTATACATTTTAACCTTGTTCTAGAACCTTGTCCATTTCTACTCCATCTGTAGCCTTCCATATTCTAACTTTCTCCTCCACCCATCACCATTACACCAATGCTACCGGTACTGCCTCACAAATGTAAGGTCATCCCGCATAGGAACAGGAGCATCCAGGATCCATGAAGTAGAACAAGAATTGCTTTCACAAAAAGGGGGTAATCTTTTTTATTATTGTTATTATTATTCTTAGCAGTATTCACCTTGAAGGAATATGAGGGATGCATACATTTTTTACAGACAATATATAAACATGTTGTACATAATTAACAATAACTTAGTTCACTAATCCAAAACTTAAGCCAATTTTTTTTTTTTTACAAAACCAGAAAATACTGCCAAATCTTTATGCTGATATTAAGTACAAAATAATTTAAATCCTGACTGTGGTACTTTTATGCTGCAGTGACTGACAATCTATTGCACTTTGTCAACCTTGGACTCGGTCCAGCAAGCATTTGGGGTGTGCAGCCTCAGTCTTCCTAAAAGGAGGGCATGAGTAGGCCTTGCCTTTGACAGGGCAGCAGTGGCACTGGGTGGATTTGTTTCCTAGCATTATTATCTCCCTCATTCTCTCACCCAGCCACTCCCACCCACTTCTGACCCTCACAGAATTTGAACTGGTTACTGCAAAAGGTGGATAACTGTACCATATACATTAAAAATCCCCTTTCCTCACATACACACACACACACACACATGCACCCAAATCAAGAAAAAGGAGTAAATAATTTCTGTCTTGGCTAACAGAAATTAATATTTATCCCATGTGGATTTCCTTTCAGTTTTTGTTCTGGGGAGTTTCTTGTGGGGGTTTTCTGTGGTGGTGGGGGGCATTCTGCCATTTCTATTTCTTCACAAAGTGCAACTACATTATGCCTATAGAAACCAAAACAATGAGAAAAGGCATTTGCTCGGAATGCTTGGTCCTTTGTACCAAAAACTGAATTACAGACTTAGGAGGAAGCAAAAAACAATGTACACCTGGATTTTTTTTAAAGCAGACTTTTGCAGTTAAAGATACAAGTTGGGCTTGACTTGAAAAAAAAGTGGGGAAAAATACATTTAAAAACCTGCCACAGAGTTAGCTTTATGCGATTTACATTATCAATCCCCTTTGTTAATTGGGGTCATTTTTTTCCATCAGAAATATAGCTACATATGTACATCATATGTTATATTGGACCTTGTGATCATGAAAGTCATCAGATCATAACAATCAATAGAATACATTTCACACTGGCAAGAGTTTTATTCTTCAGCTGTTTACGTACAGTATGGTTTCAGAATGGGAGACAACTTTGTTTCTGGACACTTGTGATTTTCTTTAAAAACAAATCTATCTATCTACATATATTTATATATATGCTATAGGAAATCATATACCCCATTTTCTCCATGAGCAGATCACTTTCTTTGATGTTGCTACATCTGATCTATCAGAAAGAGTTGAAAATATCTCTTTTTTCCCTTCCTGTCTTCAGATCTTCATTTACTTATTTGCTTTTTAGTCAAGCAGAGCATTTGTCACAACATCTGTGTCTACAGGTGGCAAATTCCATCTTTGCTTGGCCAAAGTGTTATAATAAGATAGTATGAGATGAACTCTATGTGTCTTGGGCAAACTTCTTAAGAAAACAGATTAAACTGAACCATCACGAGGGCATCTTTCAGGATGTTCATCTTAAAAGAGTTTTCCTTCTCCTGCCATGAACTGAAATTACATCTTGAATCTAAGAATATAGTCCTCTAGAGCAATGTTTCTCAACTTTGGCACTTTAAGATATATAGTCTTCAACTCCCCCAAATTCCCCAACAAGTTGGCTTGGGAATTCTGGGGGTTGGTCTACAAACCTTAAAGATATGTTTAAAGGTTAAGAAACATTATCCTAAATGGGCCATGGTTACCTAGCAGCATAGATGTTTTGTTCGTCAAAAGTTTCATAGGTTCGGTACTTGACACCTCTCGTTAAACAATCTTACAGAAGAAAAAGGAAAAGTAGCAGAAGACAGCTGCTGCAGAATATAGCTGCTGCAATGGCCACCATGGGTTGGCGGGTCTGTTGTAAGGCAGTTCACTACCTTGTCAATCTGTCTTTGCATAATACAGGTAATCATCATAAACCTGAATGGGAGAAATGCCTCAGAAGAGAAACTGTGAGTCTTAATGCAAGATATTATTGAAGATTTTCAACCCAGCAGACTGAGCCATGAAAGGAGCTGGACAGTTGGGGAGCCCACATTATTAAGGACCACCTCCTGATTCATTCAGCTCCTCTGCATTAAATAGGGTGGAGGATAATCTCCTCACAGCTTTTGGCAGTGAGATGTCTTGGGATGTCCCTGCTCTCCAAAGGAATGGTCATGAGTCGTACTGATTGAGGAGACAGTAACTGTAGGACTGTAACTGGGGAGAGGACACCAAGCTGGGGAAGTCTGGGCTAAGGCAATGAAATAAGTTATGAGAAGCTACCTGATGTCTATGCTGACTTGCAATCGAGAGAGCAAAGAAGAGGCCCTTAGGACAGGCTAAATGGTTTGAGGTGGGAATGCCCCTTATCAGCCCACTAGCTGTCCACACATATCTTCTTTTAAAAAAATATGGTGAGAAAGACATTCAGATTCCCTTTATTTTACTCTCCAGCCACAGCAAGATTGTTCCCTGTGGAAAACCTTTCAGCCATTTGTCCAGTGTATCTGCTCCCTTGTAGAATGCCACACTTTCATGTCAAGATATTCACAATGAGAAAGAGACTGCAGAAATTACGTCTGAATAATCCATGCCTGAGGCTATTTGTAATCAATGATAAAGCCAACAGCTTCCCTCTCTCACACACATCCTCTTCCTAGTAGTTTTCTTTTTTAAAAAAAGTAACAGCAATGAAGAGAAACAAAAATGTGGCCATTAAGCAATAAAAAATTAATAATAATTAGAAAAACTGTTTTCTACTAGGTTGCATGTTTCTTTAAACAAAATAAAAATAAAAGATCCATAAATTCATGCAAGAGTTTTGAAGCTCTTTCTGGAGCACAAGAGCAAAATAAATAATTATTGTTTTTATGTGACTGGTTCCTTAAAAAGTAGATTTTTTTAATAAAGTTGTCCATTTTTCCTCCCCACAAAACACAATCCATGGTAGAAATCCAGCAAGTGTGGCTACTACTGAACTTCCTCTGCTTCAGGAGATGGTTAATCGCTTTACAATATTCACAGTAATGAACAAAGGGAAAGGAAAGCTGGCTCTAGTTTCTTTCACTACTTTGGCCACCTTTCCTTTCCACTGGGACAAGCAGGTATCGTATCAAACAGATGAGTTCCTCTTTCTCCTTTTACCTGAGGGAGCAAAGTGCATAACAGGCACCATTTAGCATTTCTGCCGAAGACCCATCATTGCAAAGTTTCCATTTAGCACTAGGAGTTGAATTCTACTGGAACAAAATCCCCTTTTACTTTCCTTCCTTCCTTCCTTATAGTCTCTTTCCTGGGCAAAGTCTTTCCTTCCTGTCCTCTTAGGCCAAGCCCAGTTCTGGAAGTCCGTGAGAGTCATTAAACTCTATCCCATAGCTGTGACCATGCTGGATGGATGTGGATGCCCAAATGAGATGCTGGAAGATGGGTGAATGGGGGTAGGAGTTGGGAGGATATGTCCAGAGTGGCTGAAAGGTGGCAAGTGGCCCATTGGTGCCATGTGACTAGCCAGGGCAGCAGCACTGAAAGGCGAGGACTTCTCCTGCATGCATTTAGACAGTTCCTCAAAACATTCAGAGCCTTTCTTGCTCTTCTTGGATTTGTTGGACATTTTCCTATTTCTGGTCTGAATCCCTTCCTTCTTCATGGTCAGCGGTCTGTTCACCTGCAAGAAATGAGAAAATCAGGTTCCTGCAAGCAAAGTGATATTTTTTTGTGCAAAAAGAAAAATATTTGAACAACCCTCTCAATCTTCTCTGAGCAGCATTCGTTTTGTGCTCTCCTCCCCCTAATCCATCATTGTATAGTTTTCACTTTGTTCTCCCAGCAACTTGTGTTTATAAATTAACTTTATTGGATAAAAACACATCAAACTCAAGTATGATCTGGTTGCTTTCACTCTTCCAAAGTTCCTTATTCTGGCTCTTTAACAATAAATCAACTCTATATCCTTAGATAATTTGTGTGTATGGGGGTACATACACTTTCAAGTCAATCTTGACTCCTGGCAACTATATAGACAGGGTTCGTGCAGAGTTTCTTGGCAATATTTTTAGAATTGGATTGCCTCTTCTGCCTTCATAGGGCTGGAAGTGTGACTGACCTAAAACTTCATGTGGCTTTGATGCCTAATGCTGGATTACAACTCATAGTCTCTCTGTTTTTAATCCAGTGTCTGTAACTATTATACCAAACTGTCTTTCATATTTACATATGTATCTTTACCTCTATCTGTCTGTATATATACATAATATTCTGCACACATTTCCACATTGACTTCATACCTGGAGTTTTAAAACTCCGTCACCTTGCCCTATATATGCTCAAATACATCCAATATTTTCTCCTTGAACCTAGCCTGGATTTTTAAGATTCATTTAATTGTTGTTTTGTTTTGAAGCACAAGCTTACATAAAAATCATTCATGATACAAGTGTGTTAAATATCTTCTGTGTTTCTTGGGTACAGTAAAAAAGAAATGAATATGCTTTAGCAATAATTATGAGTTATAACTCTCTTTTGTCTAGATTATCTGGGCTTTAGAAGCCAAGCTAACACATTGTAAGGTTATTGAACCCAGCATCACTATGCCAACAAAGAATGATTATGACTTCCCCTGGGAACGTTAAAGAGGATTGTGGTGTTTTTTTTTCAATGTGTCCCTTTGCAATGAATGCAAAGGATACTGGACAGCAGGCAGTTAAGGCATCAATCTCAGCTAAGCAAGCAAAAGAAGACACAAGGCAAGAAAATACTCACATTGTGCAATTTGTAATACAGTCCACAGGCATTACAAACTGGATCCCCATTGGCATTACGTCGCCATAAAGTGGTGGTGGTGGTTTGGCAGTTAGCACAACAGGTTCCTGCTCTCCTAGCAGCTGACTAATTAAAGATGAAAATAAATAGAAATATGTTGGAGAAAATGTTATTCCGGTGTTGCCTGTTGCATTAGTTTTAAATTAAATATTAAATATTCACCCACCCTCTCTTAAAGTTCTCAGTCTTTTTTGTTTTGCTTTGGGACTTTGTCATTCAAACATACATGGACTATTTGATGGATAATGTGAATTCCACACCCAACTCAAAATCATAAATGCTTATTAATGTCCCTGTTTTCTTGCTAGTGTTGGATAGCTTTATGCATTTAACCTGTTTCCCCATCCCACCCCCTTCCAAGCAATTGTCCTCTCATCCTTTGCACATGGGCAGGGGAAGTCAACTAGCCAATGAATAGTAAATTACAGCTATGCATGAAGAACTCCAGGGTTATGTGAGAAATCACAGAAAGTTGGTGTTCTTTAAGTGAAAACACATCTAAAAATCAAGAGACATGTAAGCCACCTACATACTATGTATGTGTCGGGCCTGTAGAGGGTTATTCTTTTCATTGGCTTTCTCCACCTCTAATGCCCTCCAAATATATTGGGTCTGCAATTCCCAGAATTCAACTTCTTAAAACTATTATATCACACATGAAGAGTGGCAAGTTGGAAAAGAATGAATATGTAGGCCAAGTAGCTGAACTCTACAGATAACTACTCACACACTACTCTTCCCTTTTCTTATTCCACTTCATCATTTTAACTCATTTTCTCCCAGCCAGCCTCAGAACTGGAGTAGGCAAAAACTGCTTAAAGCAGCAGAACACAAAGCTAAGCAGGGGTGAATCTACTGTAGTTCCCTTAACTAGGAAATTTGGACCAAAAAAATGTCAAAACAGAATCTTGCTTTATATGAGGGGGACCCTCAAGAAAACCTACAGGATCACTGTGAAGAATATTCAGGCTAAATCACGGATAAAGTCTCACATACACTCAGTTGGACTGAAGAGCCTAGGGCATGGTCTCTGCCTCCTGAAGTAATGGATAGTTGTCAGAACTGGAAGCAAAGTCGCTTGTGTTTGAGATCCAGGTGTCGCCCCCCCCCCCCCCCCAGCTGTTAAATCTGCCTATGAGGTGACCTGCAGTTAGATCCATGGGATGGTGACAGAGGATATCATTCCTTTGGCTTTGAAGGAAGTGGTGATATATTCCCATGAAAGGCTGCTACTGGACCTAAGAATCCTAACTGTGGGGTCTCGGAGTGGGGACACAGCACTGTAGTGGTTTTCCTCTTTTTCTGTAGTCAACATTGATGGGGAGAGGTCAAGCTAATGGTTCCTCATTTGTGCAGTGCCTCAGGGCTTGGTATTCTTGGCCCTTCTGTTGAACATCTATTTGAACATTCAAATGCCAAGACATTACAAATATCAGACTTTTAATTAGCGAGTGTATTTTCACCATCACTCATAAAAAACAAGGTAAATTAAACTCCATGTAAATGCCCCATTTCTGATTAATAAGAACCGAAATGCTTTAATCCTTTCAAAGACAAATTTATTTAATTTTAATAACTTGCAATTTAAGGATTTGGAATATTTAGGCTACTTGTTCCGGTACTTAACACTCTGCCTCAGCAACCCGATTGTAATAATAGGGATCTATAATGCTATACTGAAAAAGCCTTCAGTATATTTTCTTCCACATAATTACCATATTTGTAAAGATGATGCGGGTACAGCTGTATTATACCGTAGCTTTCACTTTAATATATAACTGATAACTTTCTCTTCGTATCTTAAAAGAAGTAAATGAATTTGCTACACTTTAGCAAACAAATGCCAGTCAAACAGTAGCATCTATTGATTAGCTCATTTGTTCTATAAATCTTTGTATTCAGGCTGAAGTTTTGAGCAGCTTAAATAAATGACCTGTACTAATAATACATTGCTGTGCTAATATGTGGGAAGATTGCTATGGATTCCAATAGGAATTGCATTAATTTTTGCTTGGCCCTAAAGAGGAGTGGAGGGACTGATTTTGTACATGAAAGTAAGATTTACATTCAGAAAAAATGCCTTTCCCCCTTAAATTGGTTCTTGGCGGAGTGACCCATAACCCTGAAAACAATAGGGTCATTTCAGAAGTTTTTAAGAGTAGAGGAAAATGCACTCTCTCTTTTACAAAAGAATCTTTGGTAAGAAAGGGTTCCTGTTTCAGGAAATAATTTTGTTCCCTCTTTCAGGCAGTATGTGGAAATATAGATGCTTTTTCTCCACATAAAATATTTAGTCTGTGAGAGAGGCCTTTTAAAATCAAATTAATTTCTGTGCTGATTTTGGAAGCAGCCATGCAATAATACTGCTAGCCACTATATAATCCTGATTTATTGAGAATGTAAATCAGACCAATATTTCTCATCATTTAGATCAGACTCCCAAGTATAAAGGCTGGTGGGTTCATTCTAACCTTGAGAAAAAGGTGAGAGGAGAGGAGAATTTTGGTGATTTGGTTCAGAAAACTTCACTGATTTACTTCAAAAGGGGAAACAGTCAGATATAAGCTACCAAATCACCAGAATGCAACCAACCCTACCTAAAAGTTCCATTTCTCAAAATTCTTCCTCTGTTTAACTAGCTCCCTTTTTGTGAGAAGCTAGGGTTACTCCCAAATAGAGCACCAATTATGCAACAACTCGTCTTTTTTATTTGAGACTGAGATGCATTCTTGAAAATAAAGATGAAACCTGTCCTTCTGCTATTGATGTTAAAGCATGAGAACTATGCAAATTTAAATCTTAATATTTTTAAAAAATCTCAGAATGAAGAACACGGGAGAGAGCCTGGGACATAGCAAGCTGAACTGTCCACAAATAAATGTGGTAAAAGTGCTTTCTTTAATCTAAATCTGGAGTCCCATAAAACAGGCTTTGTTAATACTCTATCCAATCTCCACTACAAGACAATTAATACTATGTATAGTCTAAAATGGTGATCATGTCTAAGAACTATGGAAATTGTAGTCTAACAAATCTGAAAGCACGAGGCAATTAAGAGAGCCTGATTTTACTATGTATGCCAAATATTAATACTTTCCCCATTATAATATATACTGAATTATCTACCATGTGCATTCAATTTTTCATGAATCTTGCACAACTTTCTATTACAAATTCAAGAATAATAAGAGATGTATAAAGATATTCCTGTATTTCAACAAATACTATTACTGACATCCCGCTGATTTCAATGGGACTCACACTAACCCAGGCTGTGTACAACTGTAACTAGTACACACATTAAAAGGATGTGGAATATAACTGACCCTTTAAAAATTCAGAATAGCTGAATGTGGCATCTATGTCAAGTAGCAGAATTTAAAATACTTTTAAGGATAACTGAGAGAATAACAGCCACAATCCTTCAGACAATTCTCCTACATAAACCTAACTGGAATTAATTGCTGTTTAAACAACAACATGGGAGAAGAAAGAATATTATTTAAATTTTTTAAATGGGACCAAGCATACACCGGAGAAGCGGCAGTTATATTATTTTCCTAACTAAGAGTGTTTTCTGATGCCATTTGTAAAAAGCTCCCTTAAAACAAGTTGCATCTCTTTTGTCCATATAGTTTAGTCTACTCCAAATACCAGTGTGGCCCCAATAAAAAGCTCTCCCATGCATCTAATTTTTTTTTTCATTTACCAAGAATTGAACCTCCAACTGTCTGCATGAAAAAATGTGCTCTATTACTGATCTACAGCTATTGCCAACCTGCAAGACTGTAAGTCAGAGAACGCTTACTGAGCTAATTCACTGGAAATGCAATACAGTTTAAGAAAAGGGGATACCTAAACTAGTCAAGTATACTTCCTTTTCTTGTTGAAACCCCATAAAAGGTTACTGCTGCCAGGAACCTCGAAGTCTAAAACTGCGTTTCCCAGCCATGGCCACTTGAAGCTGTGTGGACTTCAACATGGCTGACTGGGGAATTCTGGGAGTTGAAGTCCACCCATTTTCAAGTGGCCAAGGTTGGGAACACTGAACTAAGAGATGCCAAACCAGTGCATCAATTGATGCAATGAGGCTCCTGCTAGAATAGGATAATTGTGTTTTTTTTTTAATCAGGCTATAAGCTTGGGACAAGATAGACGAATGGTCCCCTTTCTATTCTCACTTCCAATTTTTTTCTTGTTTCAAGATGAGACAAGATAAAATCGAGTTTTAAAATGCATCTTATTTTTCACTGGACAAGGGAATGATGACTATATTGATTTGTTCCAAATTTTAAAATTGCCTTCTCTCTGATCCAACATTTAATACACACACATATCTCTAGAAACTCACCTACTAAAATCTATACTTGTGGGGGTGGGGGGGAAGAGAGAGCGCTATGTTTTCATATTCCCTATTCCTTATTTCTTATTCCAGTGTCCTGCTAGACACTGGCCCCTTAACTCTGCACCCTGTCCCGTTTAGTCTGGGATGGAGTTTGCCCTGTCGGAGACAATAACATTTCCCTGTTGTCTTAACATTTTTCTAGTTGTGTCAATCACTTAGAAAGAAAAGTAAGTCATTAAAACAATCGCTCGCTTGAAGTTCTGACCCTCAAAATCCTCTGCATCCTGTCTCAGCATTAGATCATTAGCATTATTCCTTCAGCCTTATAATCATTCTGGAAAAATGCCCCCTGCCAAAGAGAAAGGGCATTTTTTGGTCCCCCTAAATCACATTGTTCCGTGTGTGTGTGTGTGTGTGTGTGTGTGTGTGTGTGTTCTCCTTTTTTTAAACAAATATTTGTACAGCAGAGCCTATTTGCAATTTCAAAACAGACTGCCTGAATAGCATGGCCTGCCTATAGAAACTCTTTAAAGCTTTTAGAGCCAGGAAACAGATACACAAAGTTTCCTTATCTTCAGAATACAGATATCCGGATAGGAAACTACTACCAGGAGCTCAGAAATTTTTTTCAAAAATTAAAAAATCAACAACCCTGAAATGAAAATACAAAGTATAGGTGACTCCATGGAAAAATAATCAGCCCTTGAAAAGGGCAATCAGAGGATTGTCTCTAAAGAAGACTAATGTTAGGTTTACCATGGAATCTCTGACTACAAAACCATCCAAATAATGACTGAACAGACAGAAACGGTTTTGACTCATCTATTATTATTATTATTATTTTTAATGCTTTCTGTTTTGGGTCACTTTTTGTACTTTTCAGCTGGGAGGGCAGGCAGGCAAGAGTGATTCTTTCAGTTTGAGCGTCCATCTGACCTGTCCAAGAGGTCAAATGAATTAAAGCTGTCTTTTCTGGCTAAAAGAGGCAGAATAATGCACAGGAAGAAATAGGCTGATTTAATTGGGCAAGTACTCCGAAACAGGCATAAATGTGTTGCAAAAATACAGACAGGCAGAACGTAAGCATGTGAAGCAGTGAATGTCTATGCCATGGGCCTACTTCATAAGATTGTTGGACGGGCAATAAATCACAGAACTTCTAAAGCTGTGGGTCAAGAATAGACTATGAGCATACAAATGCGCATGTACATATCCCCCTATGAAATGGTTACTGTTTTGCATCCTGACATGTAAATTTCTATGGGTGGGACCCTAGCCATTTGTTCCCTAGGCTACTCTGTGGCCTCTCAGTGACACAGCCTTCATGTGCAGACAGTATCTAGCTTCCAGGCAAGTTCTGAATCCCACAGATGGGTTCAGGTTGTACCCTCTTCCTTCATATGCAGGGATGGTCCCATGAAACCATTTTGCCCCGAACCTGATAGAGAAACAGGCACCTACCAGTCTCCGCTTAGGTTTAATGAGAGGTCGATTTTGACCGTTCATTTTGTGGTACAGCCCGCAGGCGTTACACAGGTAATGCCCGGTACCGTCTCTTCTCCAGAGAGGGGTAGCAGTAGCTCCACAGTTGACACACTCTCTGCCTTCTAAATGGAAACACGAAGAAACCGGATTTCTTTCTTTAAAAACAAATTCACAAAAGCTTTTTGCATTGTCCATTTAGGTAGATTCCAGATATCAAAACAGCACATTATTATCATTCAAATTTATTTCAAAGGGAAGGAAAAAAGACAGGTCAGTGACACAACATTGACAGTACATACAATAAAAGGTAGGAACATGCAGTTTTCAAGCATTTACTTTCTCATGTAACAATAACTCTGTCTAACCTAGACAGTGGTATTTTTATTACAGCTGCCACATGAGAAAACAGACTCTGTTCCAAAATGTAGAGTCATAAGCTGTTCTTTCCTCTCTCTCTCTTTCTTCTCTCCAACATCTAGAGGTAATATTGGAACTGAAACAAGAATACACAATCTTTGTTCATTAATGTTTTGGAGTTAGAGAAAAATTCTCTTCCTCTGGCTTGCTCAATTCTTTTTTCTTTCTTTCTTTCTTTCTTTCTTTCTTATAAATGTTGCACTCTTTAGATTGAAGCAGAATTAACTTTTGTTTCTAGGCATTCCATATACCCTCGTATCCAAAATCTAATTTATTATGCATTCTCTTTGTTATGGGGCTTAAGATTGATCTGCCTCAAAATGCTTAAACATGGCTGCTTGTTCAACAGGAGTCTTTTTTAAGAGGAGAGGGGGTGGGGGCAAGAATATTAACTAAAAGTTCATTTGTTTGAGGGCAAGGAAATTCTTTGAGCAGAGCTTATGCAAATCATACAGTATTTAATGCAGAGGAAATACACTTTGGCAGTAACTTGAGCTGGCCATGCTAAGTTCAGCTGTGTCTGTGTCTCCTTTAATCTATGGAGTGGGTGGTTTTTAAACAGCCTTGGCTGGAGTGAAAAATGAGGGACCTCTGTGAAGCCAGGAGTTCCTAGCTTTTGTCCCTCCTTAAGCAGGAAGCCGCAGGAGTCGCCTTGTCGTGAGTCTTGCTTTTCCTACAAAAACATTAAATGGTCACGAACTCTCCCCAGTTTCATCTACAAGACAGGATCTCCATTACAAAATGTAGGGAAACTTCTTCACCTCATAAACAGTGTAGAGCATGGCAAAGGAGGACAGAAGTTGTGGGAGGAAGGTTGAAACCAAATTTCCCAGCAATTCCTATTGCAATGGAGAGCAGTATATAAAAGAAGCTGTGTATATATATATTAAATTCCAGAATTTAATGAAAGAAGATGATCCAAACAGAGAAGCAACCAAAACGTACTGTACTTTTCTTGCAATGTTCCTAAAACATTGAAAAGAGGTGCAAATCTATCTTGTTTTGTTTTTCTTTGATATCACAATAAAAAATTTTTTTTACTAATAAAGCCATTACAATATTAAATTTATATAAAATATTCTAAGTTTGATTTCATGTGAGTATTATTTATTACACTGAATGTCTCTTTTAAAAAGAGATATAAGTAAGCATGTTTGGCTTGAAATCTGTAAAGGTAACAACAGGCAAATAAGTTGCAGTTTAACAAACAGATGAACTGGAGTTAACTAAGACATATGATGTTCCTCCAGTTTTATTGGATTCATTTAAACTATAATTTAAAAGGTACTTTGGAAGCCTGCACTTCTATATAAACTATGTTTGAACTTTGTTCTTTTTATGTATCGAGACAGCAAAGTTCTGTAGACGTTCTAAGAAAATGACCTTGTAAATTTCAGTTAACAGCTGAGTCTTTATAAAGTCCTTTGTTTAATGAAGATGAACTTTATTGAAAGTTAACAGAAATTTACCATAAAGTTCATCTTTATTAAGCAGTTAACAAATTAACTAAAATTTTCAGTAATGGAAATCCCACCCAAAAGAGTATAAGGCATATCAGGATTTTCCAATGAATTCAGTTGCCCCAGATTTTCATGGGGTTGCATTAAGAGGTTTACCAATATAAACTCTTATCGGCATAATTCAGATCTACAAACTTTGTGTGTCTTTTTTTTTTTTTTCATGGATTATGGCAGCTTTTGGGCTCAGCAATGAGTGAATTCTATGGAGATCAGTGACTGGAACAAAAAAAGAGACCTGGGTTGCCAACTAATTAGCAAAAACTAAAATTATAAAAGATAACAAACTGGAAATGCTCTTGTGCTCCACATTCTCAGGAAAAACTGCTGATAACTTAATGTTGTTACATGTTCTCACTAAAATGTATGGAAATCCATTCAAATCTGATCAGGAAATTTTAAAACTAGCCATTTAAAAAAAACACCCTTTCATGCTTATCCTTTAACATATTTAAACCACACATTAAGGAGATTTTTTGAAGAAATGACCCAGCTCCAGAAGCTCACTGATACTAGCAATCATGATGGTTATCTCCCTGGATTATTACAGTTACAAGATCAAAGTGGTGATTCATTTATTTGGAATTATTAAACTAGGACTGAATTGAGAATAGTAGTTAAACATTCGTTTCAGTCCTGTTAAGATTGCGCTTATGTGTGCGTGAGTATTTAAAAAATATTAGTCAAATATATTTGGGGACAGGGAGGGTATTTTTTATTTGGAAAGAAACATGGTCCATATTATCCTGTCTAAAATGTTCAAATCAAAATTGTTGCTTTTATTAAATCCTTGTCCAGATTTTTACCTACTGAAATATTTTCCAATGCTTATTTTTGGGTGTGCATTATCTCAACAGAATACATCCCAGAATCCTGCAGTTGTTCACAGGGAAGAATAAACCCTCCTCAGGCCCATCCTTCCATGACTACAACTGTTACTAAAAGATCGATGGCTGTTATTTGTGAACAGGGGCATTTCATAAACTTACAGCATTTATATTATAAATTTATATTATATTATATTTATATTATATTATATTATAAAACTTATCCGAGAGACAGCAAAGACAAGCAGCAAAAGCTCAAGATGCAAACACAAAACAAAAAAACAAAACGATTTCCCCCATCGCTTCTCTGAGACGGGGCGCTCGTGACATAATTCCCACCAGAAAAGCTTTTACACCCGATCCCCCCACCCGCGATTTAAAGGCTTTTCGGAAAGGCTTGGGAAGAAGAAGGAGGAGGGGGGGGAGAAGCGGTCTTACCTGAGCAGGACCTGGCTTTGCTCCTCTGCTTTGGGGTGAAGCTAGAAGCGGGGCCCCCGAGGAAACTGCCCGGGTGGAAGAGGCTGCCGCCGTAGTCGTGGGCGGCGGGCACGTAGGAAGGGTAGGTGGGGATCGGGTGGTGCGTGGACGGCTGCGCGCCCATGGAAGCGGCCAGGCTGCTGCGCAGCGGGCTGGCGCTCTCCATCTTCATGCCGTCGGCCAGGGCCACCTGGTACTTGAGGGGCTCCTTGTCATCTTGCCTGCCGCCGCCGCCGGCCGAAGCGGAGGCCGGCGAGGCGGCGCTGCTGCCCGCGTTGGGGTCCGGCGAGACTTCCTTGGGCGGCGTCGGCGGGAAGCCGAAAAGATGGGAGCCCGAGTGCGAGGCCGGCGTGAGCGAGGAGGCCGAGGCGGCGCTCGACGCGGAGCTGCTGCCTCCCGGGTAAACCGAGATGGCGCCGGGCGGCGCGCCGGCCGCCGAAGGGTGCAAGGGCCCCTTGGTGAAAGGGTTCACCGTCCACGGGTTGTGATGGTGAGCCGCCGAGAGCGCCGCTTTGCCGCTGTCCAGCCAAGGCAGGCCGGGGCTGTGGAGCAAGTGAGGCCGGCACATTTGGCCGCCGGTCAGACGGGCTGGGAAAGGACGAAAAGGCGCCAGTCAGCCAGGCCAAAAGCCTGGGGTGAAAAAAAGCTGGTCTCCCACTCTCGCCTCTCCCCCCCCCCCCCCCCCCCCACGGTTTGCCCCCTGCTGGGGCAAGGCTTGGGGGACAAGCAGCGCGCCCCCCCCCCCCACGCCCCCGCCAGCCTGCCTCCCTCCTTGACCTGTTCGTCCCAGACCCGCCAACGCCTGCTCCCAAATCCCCACCACGGGTCACAATTGGAGGAGGCAGCGGCTCAGCTGCCTTCCCGCCTTCCCTTGAACCCGCGGAGGGGAGCCGGCCGAAACGCGGGCCCCCAAATTCTTTGCGGCCTCTCACCGCAAAACAGGCAGCACGTTTTAAAGATGCGGGTTTTTTAAAAAGCCATCTAGGAGGAGGGCCTCCTCCGAGAAATCGGGGTGGGTGGGTGGTTAGCAGAAAAATACGCAAATATATATACTTTGCCACTATCTCTCCCCCTCCCAGTTCATCTGGGACTCCCACACACACAGAGAGAGACTTTGATCAAGGGTAAGTGACGGAAAGCAGAGCCGGGCAGGCGTCTTATATCGCCCCGCTGCTCCCACAATCGGACGCCCAAAACTAGTTGGAGCGTGGAGGGAAGTAAAAAATGTCAACCGGAGCAAGCTGACAAGCGAAGGGCAGGCGTTTTCTCCCCCCCCCCCCCCCCGCTTGCTTCCCAAAGAGGTTTGCAAGACAGGCGGCCTACGGACACACGTGTGCAGGGTGTCCCGGTTGGCGATTATTTTCCTAGTTTCCAAAAATGGGAGTTCTTTGCAAACCCCCCACCACCAACACACACACACAGTTCTTATGCGGACACTAAAGGACGAACGTTTAAAAAGTGTTTCAAATTACGCGAAGACTTGGCATCCGGAAAACGGGCCTGTCTTGCGGCTGCGAAATGCATTTAATAACCTTCTCTTCCTCCACGCACAAGGACGTCGCTTCCCTTTTCTCTTCTCCCCCCCCCCCCCCCCCCCGCACCCCCAGCCCCGCCGTCAATGAAAAGCGGCCCTCAAAGTGGCGAGCTAAGGCTTTTTGCCCCCCACCCCCCCCAGGATTCAAAGCCCCCCCCCCCTGGCTATCTTTACTGCTGCTTTGGCCGAAACCTTCCGGGCCGCTTTTCAGCCGAGACCAATCAAGCCGGAGGGGCCGTAGCAGAAAAACGGGAAGCGAGGAAAGGGGGCAACGGGGAGGCCGAATTACCGTGTGCCTGGCTGTAGGAAACTCTGGCTCTGGCGTGGGCGGAGTTGGCGTAGTACGGGTTGCCCTGGGAGTCCAGATGGTTAAAAAAGACGTCCACTTCGTCCGGAGGTAGGAGCTGTGCCGGTTCCATATAGTTGTGAGCCAGTCCCGGGTGATGACTCTCCGGGTGCTGCCCATTCAGCACGGCGTGATGGGCCATCCAGCGTGGCTGGTCCGTAGCTACCTCCATTTCGGTGGGTTTTCTTCCCACTCCGCCCCTTAAGGCCCCCCCCTCCCCCGCCTCCCTCCAACCCCCAAACCGTTTTGCCTTTAGTTTCGTTTGGCTTAAAAATCGCAGAGCTCTCGGAAGCGGCGAGGTGGCCTTGGAAGATGGGTTGGGGGCGGGTGGGGGGGAGGAAAAGAAAAAAAGAAGAAGAAGCAAAGGTGTCTCTCTTTGAAGGCGGGAAGCTGCGGAGAGAGGTTCCGGTTGCCACACACTTGGGATCACCACCTGTAAGAAAGAGGGAAGGATGAGTACAACGGCGGGCCTTTGGAAGAGACCGCGGCAGGGACTGCTGCACGCAGGGAAACGCGGAAGAGCGGGAGGCAGGCACAGAGCAGAGCGAAAGCGATCCCATGGCGTCCACCGCACTCCGCTCCCCCTCCCCGGCCTTTCGCATCCTCCTTAGGCTGCCCTGGCCACGAATAAACACGGCCAGAACGACCTTCTTTAACCAGAACAATACGAGGCACAAGGCAGATCTTTGATCTACATTTGCCCACAAAGGAGACCAGGCTGACATTTCCCCCAAAAGGTCCTAAAACTCACAGAAAGGGGTTAAGAAACTGGAAAGCATTTATATTTCTGCAAAATAAAATAAAAAAACAAAAAAAAAAAAAAAAAAACCAGGCGTCGCTTCACCCTCACCCTCAACCTCTACCCCCAATTCAGCTCAGCGACATACTTACAAGGAGATCTTCCAAGCAGACTGAATCGAACTCCAAATGTTTGAAAAGTTTCTTTAGGTTGTAAACGGGGGCGGCGGGGAGGGTGACGGATGATTGTTTGGAGGATGGAAATGCAAAAAAAAAAAAAAAAGGCGTGTGGGAGGGAGAGTGGAAGGAGAGCGCGAGAGAGGAGGATTGGATGGAGGCTCTTACTCAGATGGCAAGCTCCACTTATTCTGGCCTTTTTTGTAACATCCCCAAAGCATCTTGTGTCAGCTCTGGCGCCAGCTGGACTCAGTTGAGTAGACATGAACTAGGGGCTACGCACAGGCTAAGAACCTCCGTCCAGCCAATCAGCGGCTCGGCGTCTAGTCTCGCCTTGCGATTGGCCCAGAAAATCCAGTCCCTCGTTTTGCTCCAAACAGCTAAAAAAGTGCTGAACCCGCCAAAGGAGAAAGACGCTCGCCACCCCCCCTTCCCCCCCCCACCTCGCTCGCCACCCCCCAGCGCACACCCACCCTCCACAGCCATTTCGACTTCTCTCTGCGATAACTTCTGAGATAGCCCCACTCCAGCTTTCTCCTCTATCACAGGAGCTTCTTTTTAAAAAAAGAAAAGGAAAGAAAAGGAAAAGGGAAAAAAAACCCACGAGGATTTCACCAACTTGAGTGGCCGGCCCACCTCGAAGTTTTATAAAGTCCGCAGCGGGCACTAAATAACCCCAAGTGGTTTGAGGGCGGTGGTTAAGACTTTGAGCAAAAGGTAGTCCACCAGGCGGGAGGCAGAGCAAAGGGTGGAGAATAAGGGGCTTACGAAATATCCCCCAGGTTTGAAAAACAGAATATTTGCTAGAGACCCTCTCTCCCACACCCTGCGCAAAAAAACAAAACAAAACAAAAACCCTATCGATCCAACATTTTAAAATGAGAAATTTGTTTTTGCATTTATGTGCTTGACTTAAGACAAACATTTGTTTAGGTAGTTTAGGAAAACACACAACTGAAACTTGGAGTTAGTGTTTAAGGTGTGAATATCTTTAACTTTAGGATCGTATTGTGCGTGCCCAGTTTCTTTTCTCCCAGGTGCAGTAGGCAGTTCACTGTATTGGTATAATTTCATTCTCTGGTATTGCAACTTTCAGGAGCCTCTTACCTAGACGCAAATGCGATCACTGTGAAAGAACTAAATACATTCAGGCTTGTACTGAAGTGTATTTTTTTCTTCCAATCGGTAGCATTGATTATAAGGAACGCCTTATTTGAAATAGCAAATAGGTTTTTAGTAGAAAACAAAATACAACACAAGTAGTCGACTAGGAAGTAATTATAGATAGGAATGTTGAGTATAAATAAGTATAAATCTGATTTTTTTTAAAAAATAACATTTTGATCCAGACAGAAACACCAGATTTACTTTGAAAACATAAATCTTTCAGAAAACAGGCTTGATGTAAACAAACACACAAAACCAATTGGAACTAATAGCTGGTCTAGAATTCCTTGCACCCAATAAGGCCAAAGGAAATCGGGACATATACAGGTCCGAAAAAAGAAAAATCACACCTATGTTATTTTATTTTTCACTTCTTACACTGACTGAAGGCGGTTTAACAGAATGGGCCCTCCTATTTAAATTCTAGATGTGTTTTAACTATCTGAAGATACACGTCTAGCGACCTGGTGTTTTAAAACCCTCGACACCTGCTTTCTCTTGGCTTAAAGCTAGAGAAACTTTCAGCCCCTCCGCTTAAGAAATTGCTCCTAACAGCCGCCAGTTAGTTGGGTGGCTAGAAAGATCTGGCGGGCGGACTCGGCAGCTTTCGCCGGGCGCCTTCCAAGGTAAGACAAAACCGAGGAAGGATCGCTTCGAAACCCACAAAACAACTGATTGGCGCAAAACCTGTTTCAAAATAATTCCTGCCCCCTTCAAATCAATCCCCCACTTGAGGGCACCAATTATTTGGCGGCATTTTTACATTAAGCCACTTAGTAGGACTAAGACGGTTTTTCTTTTTTTTAAAAAAGTCATAGTTAGCTAATGTCCTTTAAAAACAAAAACACCAGCAATGGAGGCGCCACCCACCCTCCTTCCCTGGTTTCTGGGGAGAATCTCTCCCTCTCTCTCTCTCTCTCCTGCCCACCGGCAAAGGGCTAATCCTCGGAGCAGCGGCAGCGCCGCGGTTCTCTCCGAGCCTCGAGGAAGGACGCCGCCCTCGTTCCTCGTGGTCTTCCTGGCTCCGGATGCGATCCCCAGCCCCGCTTCTAAGTCCAGCACATTTGGCGAGCCCGGGTCCCGTCGCTTCGCCCGCCCGCCCGTCTCCCTTGAAAAAACGGGAGAGGAAAACGTTGGGCTCCCTCCGATTCTCCCAAGCAGCGGAAAAGGAGCAAAGGTCGCCTGCCAGGATCGCGCCGGGTTGGCCGGGCTCTTGCTTTAGTGGAGATCGGATTCCCCTTCGCTCCTTCTCCTTAGGAAGGAGGGCATGAATTCCCACCCCACCCCTCCGTCCTCCCTAAACCCTTAATGCCAACGGGCAGCCAGGTGGAGGGATGTTCTAGAGGATTTAATCTCGTTCGGGGGGGGGGAGGATTTCTCTCTTTCACCGCAGAGCCCTCCTGGGGATGCCCGACAGTCTTTTTTGAGTTGGGCAAAATTTCGAACTTGCAGGAACTCTCACTCTTTACCGGACGGAGGTTATTTTTAATATATCCATTGTTCTATTCACTAGATTCCATTTTAATGACAGCGTACTACTTCCGTCTGTTCCCCTTCCAGGGCTGCTTCGGAAGATTCCGTTCGCTGCCATTCACGGCCGCCACTTGCGGCCAGATTATTGGGGCACCTTATTGGCCTCTCCCCGAGTACACTTTACCATCGGCTCACCCCCCTCAGAGGGGACCAGCTTGGGTTTCGCTAGGCAATCCCCCCCCCCCCCCCCCCCCACACCCCCCATAGCCAAACTTAGCTGGTCGTGAGGAGCGGGAACTCCTGGTAGGCAGCGAACGAGACGTGGACGGAGATCTCTCCGTGTTTGTTAACCCCCACCCGGCCATGGGTGGGTGGGTGGGTCTCGGAGATCCACGGGAACTAAGCCCCCAGTAACTTCTTCGTGCCTTTCCCCATTAGCTTATATCCTAGGTTTTTTTTCCTTTCACTTTCGCGCAGCCCCAATCCTATGTGCTTTTGATTACATTTAACAGAGCTTAATCCCCTAGGCAGGGCGTTTAATGTGTCCTCTTTTCCTTTCCGTCGTAGTCGTTTGTCTCTGCCTCCCCTTGCGCAATCAGGGCAGGATTTAAGCCATTTCGGTTAAAGTGCTTGACAGAAGTTCTGACAGCAAAATCAACTCTCCTCACCCACCCGCCCCTTTCCCGCTCTTCGCTAGCCTCTCTCTCTCTCTCTCTCTCTTCTTTATTCCTTTGAAAGTGAGGTGGGGTCGCTGCTACATCCGAAGCTAAACTGGCGCGAAGGATGGCAAAAGAGAGAGAGAGAGAGAGAGAGAGAGAGAGAGAGAGAGAGAGAGAGAGAGAGAGAGAGAGAGAGATGGTTTGCAGAGCAAGCGAAGATGCGCTTGTTTTGAAGCCGATCTCAGCGAAGTTGCCCAGAGCTTCTTCTGAAAGCCCAATAAAAAATAAAATAAAAATACAAAATTCCCAGCTCTCTTCCACCGCCACCATCAACATCCGGCCCCGCGCGCTTTTCCTCTAGTCTAGAGGATTCCTTTCTTTTTAATTTGGCCTGCTCCGGAAAGCAGGCAGGCCCTGGGCTAGGCCGAGATTTGAAGAGGCGTTTGTAGGCCTTTCCGACTTCATCTCGCCTCCTGCCTGTTCTTCGGAATCCTTAAGGCGATCAGATCAATCGGAACTCGCCCACAGCCAGAGACCCAGGTTCTCCCACCTCTAGGTAGGACAGCGTGGGAGGGAAGATCCAGTTAGAAACGGAAGAGTAATCCGGTGTGATGCCATCCGGTGTAAAACCAGAGTACTTTCATTCTCTGAGGCCCCAGAAGAAGGTACCCAGGTGTGTAACACAGGCATAGGCGCATAGCCACACAGAGAACATGCACCATGTTCTTTGTAAATTATCTTTCTGAGAATACTGTTTCTCGGCTCAAGATCGTTTCTTTCTTTCTACAATAAAATTTTTCAACGACCCTAGAAACAAGTCTTCTTGCCTATCTGTCCGTCTTTCCCTCGTTTAGGAAAGTGAGATTGTATATTTTACAACAATGGAGTTTGTGGCATCTTTTAAAGTCTAGAAGATTAATTGTGGCAGACCAGGTATCTTCATTGTTGTAAATGAGGGATTACATAAAGCAATGTTAGATATATTT